CGACTGGTAGGTTTTCCGTGCCACTCCGCTCGGACCGCCGGCTTCTTGCTACTGGGCTGTCTCCCTCCGGAACTGTTTCCCCCCCCTCCCGTCTATGTCGACCCCTTAGTTCCTTAGTTGACCCGAGTATAAGCCGAGGGGGGCATTTTTCAGCCCCAAAAATGGGCTGAAAACCTCGGCTTATACTCGAGTATATACGTACCTGGCTCAACAGTACTTACAGAGAGGGATCTAGATGTCCTAGTGGACCACCACTTAAGTATGAACCAACAGTGTGCTGCAACTCTCAAAAAAGATAATACAGTCCTAGGTTGCATGAAAAGAGGGATAGTTTCAAGATCACTTGAAGTGATAGTAACACTTTATACCATAGTGGTAAGGCCACACTTAGAATACTACATCCAGCTCTGGTCACCATCATAGAAAAAAGATGTTGAGATCCTGGAAAATGTACAAAAAAGAGCAATGATGATAAAAGGTCTGGAGGAAAATTGTATGATGAACAGTTGAGGGAGCTAGGTATGTCTAGCCCAGGGGTAGGCAACCTTGGCTCTTTTATGACTCGTGGACTTCCAACTCCCAGAATTCCTGAGCCAGCATGGCTGGCTCAGGAATTCTGGAAGTTGAAGTCCACGAGTCATAAAAGAGCCAAGGTTGCCTACCCCTGGGCTAGCCTATTGAAGAGGAGGAATGGGGGGCCATGATAACTGTCCTCCAGTATTTGAGGCACTGTCACGAAGAGGGGATTGACTTATCCTGGGACACCAAAGGGCAGGACAAGAAGTAATGAATTGAAGCTTGTCAAAGAGATCCAGCCTAGATGTAAGGAGATATTTTCTGACAGAGCAATTAAATAATCTTGCTTCCTGCGTTGTGGGTGCTCAATCACTGGAAGTTTTTGGGAATAGACTAGACAACCATTTGTCCGGAATTATATAAGGTTCTTGCCTTGAGCAGGAAGTTGGACTAGAAAGACCTCCAAAGTCCCTTCCAGCCCTATGATTCTGATTCATGATGGGTTGCAATATTAAGACAATTATGTACCTCTGAGGCTGACATTAAAATTCCCCTAGGTAGAGGTATATCTAAAGATGGTGTTGCTGAGAAACTCTGCTAACATACTTAGTGATCAAAGGGAAATTGCTTTTGGTTTCCTCTTCAAAGTTAGAGAAAAAGAGCTAAACAAATTCAACAGGATATGTAAATACTGTATCATGTTTAGATGTTTAACTTTGGAGAAGGAAGTCTTGTGATTACTAACACTCCATTTGAAATCATGGATCTCTATTGCAGCATGTAATACTATATTTTTTTAAAATTGACATTTCTTTATTCAAACAGCACTGACCAAATACAACTTATACTAGGGATAAAGCTACAGTCAAGGGTGCCTGATCATAGCTTCCAGACATTTGGGAAAATATTTGCAATTTGAAATTGTTGGCCTAGTAAAATAGATGGTTTATTGGTATAATTTAATAAATATTGGTGCTGAAAATATTACATGATTATTCTACTTGAACATTATTGAACAGAACAGTATTAGCATTGCATAAAGCTTCAGTTGTGTTTTTCAATATAGAAAGGTTCAGCAGCTCTAGACAAAATAATTTTGCTATAATCCATATGCAAGATAATTAACAGGAAAAATAATTGGTTGATAAAAATATATTGAGTGATCGTCTGATTCTAAATGAATGGGTTTGCAAGAACCAATATACACTTTAATATTGCAGCTTAATCAACTTAGTATCTTTCCTGTTCATTGAAAATTTGGCTGAACAATATATAAAGTAAGAGTTGATTTATTTTGGCATATATATATTGCCGTATGTATGTGTGTGTGTGTGTGTGTGTGTATATATATATACACACATACATATACATACATACATACATACACACACACACATACACACACAGCATATACATATATATATATATATACACACACATATAAAAGTTTAAAAATTTACTGAGCCGAGCTTTCGTCAGAACCCGTCTGACATCCTCAGGGCGTTAAAACAGCAGTCTGGGAGAAACCCTTATAAAGTGTGTGTGTCACGGGAGTAGGCACCTTGCCTCTAGCACGGCAGGAGCAGCTGGGTCCGATGACGCGTAGCAGAAGCCGGATGCAAGCAATTGACACACACACTTTATAAGGGTTTCTCCCAGACTGCTGTTTTAACGCCCTGAGGATGTCAGATGGGTTCTGACGAAAGCTCGGCTCAGTAAATTTTTAAACTTTTATACTTTACTTCTCTTGGTGCTCGGCTTTATTTGTTTACTATGATTCCCAAGAGTCGGATTTTTAGCGTAATTAATTCTCACACACACATATACATACATATATATATATATCTTTTTATAGTGAGCAGAAGACTACAGAGCACTTGACTAGGACACTTCGTGGAGTGATGCGTGTTGGTCTTGTAGCAAAAGGCCTCTTGCTGAAGGGAGACTTGGATCTTGAGCTGGTTCTGTTATGTAAAGAGAAACCCACTATTGGTCTTTTGGAAAAAGTAGCCGACAATCTCAGCACACAGCTTGCTGTGAGTATAAAAATAGGTTAATGTGTAGTATCCTAATATTTATATAATGTTTATTTATAATATATACTATTTATTTATTTATAATATGTATATAATGAACTGTTGGTTCTATGTTACTCGACTAACTTTGGAATTTGGTATTCCATCAAGCTTGCAGTGTTCCTGGTGTTCATAATCTAGAACAGTGTTTCTCAACCTTGACAATTTTAAGGCATGTGGACTTCAACTCCCAGAATTCCACAGCCAGCATTGCTGGCTGTGGAATTCTGGGAGTTGAAGTCCACATGCCTTAAAATTGTCAAGGTTGAGAAACACTGATCTAGAACCTCTTTGTTGTGATATTCATACAGCTGTTTAGAATACTCCTAGTAGTGTCTGTAATATCTTCATAATTAAAACTTTCTAGGTGTTTATTTACCACCTGCTTTTTAAATATACTGTTTAAGAAATTGTCCGCTTGTGTTCTCTCTCCTACAGATTTGATTCCATCATATACTAAACAAATGCAAAATATTTGAATGTTTAAATCAGATCATTCAAGTTACTCAGACCAATTGGGGACTTCAGTGTCTGTATAAATAACTCTGCTAACATTATTTTAGAACAATACTTACTGCACAATAATTTTAGATTGCTTTGGAAATATTCTTTCACGGTTCTCAAGAACGGTTGATTTACTACTGTGAATATAAATATAATGTAAATCAGCAGTACCGTAATAACAGTTTTTCCAAGTACCTCCTCTTCAGTATTCATTCCACATCTGGAAGATATTTAAAAAATAGGAGAAAAGCTTTTAGTCAGCTTTTCAATGTTGGCCTGTCCTCAGAACCAACAGGTTTCTTCCCCCCCTCCCCCCCCCAGGGGGAAGAGACTTTTCTTACTAAGATACTAAAGTCACAAAGAGTATACTACCGTACTTTAAAGATTTGGCTGCTGGTATAGAAGGTGAACATCCCTGAGGTACAATTGATTTAAAATCACTATTGATTGTATTAATTATTCTGAAAGGACTGTTTTTGCCCCTGAACTCTAAAGTGAATATTTGGAAGAGACAAAAAGCTAAGAATATAAAGTATTTTCTTGTGTTTCAGGCTATTACTGAAGACAAATATGAAATTATTCAATCTGTCAGTGATGCTGCAATTACAATTAAGAATACAAAAGAACCTCCACTGACACTTACTATTCACTTGACATCTCCTGTTGTCAGAGAAGAAATGGAAAAAATGTTAGCTGGAGGTATGGAAGACTGAAAATTGCTAGCAGCCCCAGAATGAGTTTTCAGACTGACTTTGCTAATTATTATGGTGTACAGTTTCTTGATTAGGCAGAGCAATTTCATGCAAGTCAATTTTGTATCACAATGTTATACAGTTTCTTGATTATGGGTCATCTGACACAGATTTCTAGAATTTGAGTGATATTTCCAAATGAAATGCTTTTTTAAACATTTAGGCCGTTTGGTCTGGCCTAAGCTTTTTTACAAGTGTGTTACTTCACTTGTGCATAATACTGTTTCTTTATTGAATGTGAATGTTGATTATACATGTGCAAACCAAAATCTCTTAACATATTGACATTTTAGTTTTTAAAACTTCTGCATGTTTGTGAAATTCAGTGTATTACATAAAGCAGTTTGTGTTGCAGCAAAAATGATTATCTTTCTATGTTTTTCTCCTTAATTTTGGCATATTCAATTGAATTTTAAAATACAATGCAGAGTTTTGGATAAAGTTACTGTATTTTTTGTTTTATTTAGATGGGGCCTAATTCACATGTCTGTATAATTATAACTATACAATTGCAACTGAGTTACAGAAAGCAGTTCACATTTAGTATTTGATACTACAATATGTCTACCATATTATTTGCTTGCTATTCCCATGCATGACTTTCACACAATTTAATTGCTGGATCAGATGAGGTGGAATTCATATTGACATTTTGATGTGAATTTTAACAGTGAACTTTTCAATAGCCAGAAGAACCGTGCATACAATAAGCTAAAACATTGAAATCTTTGAATTTGCTTTATTTAAAACCCAGGCTTTTCCCCTTTTTTCAGTTTTGCTGCAGCACAGACCTATTATTTGTTCCTTAATTGTTTTATGGTTTGATATCTGACACATCTACCAAGCCTTCTAGTTTGTCGATTTTAGGGACGCTGGACCTTTGACCAACAGGACGCACTCTGTCATGGGCTGGGGCCAGGGCAGTCAAGCCTTGTGGGCGGAGGGGGTTCCTTGTAGAAAAGTCCTTAGTTATGTACTACTACTAGATTTAGAGTGGGAATCTAATTTTAACCTTCCATTTTGTTGGTTATTCTAGTTCTATAGCCTGGTTACAATAGTCTAAAAGCTATCCTTCTCTGTAAGGTTTCTTTCCCTGTATAAAAATGAGTTAATGCCTCACATTGTTCTCCTTACTTAGTTGTCACTTCATAAGGATGAAAAAAAATACCTATTGAGGCTATACTTTCAGGTACAGGGCTTTAGATCAGAGTTCTGGGAGCCTCAGCTGCCCTTTAGAAAACTGCCTCATCCCCTCTCCACCCGACAGAACCCCCTTGGTCAAACTGTACCTTGTCTTCTTATTCCACCCACGAATAGAAACGCTATCAGTCAACGACTCACCGGACGTTCTGGACAGGCAGAAATGCCTTGCTGCCTTGGCGTCACTCCGACACGCCAAGTGGTTTCAGGTTTGCATTTTGTTCTTATATTTGTCTTTAAGTAGAAAACTTGTAAGTTATAATTGCCTAACTTTGTTAAAATGTTTTAAAGTGATTGTAGATGTGCAGAACTTAGCATCTGTTAAATGTACAGTTGCTAAAGAAGCACTTGATGAATTTAATTTTACAGAGAAATGGCATAGTTCCTAGTTGCTGCTTTGTGCTAAGAGTAAGTTTTCATACACAGTAATAAAAATTTATAGAAATAAAAAGCCATGGAAATGTATACATAGTTTACCCTTGACAAAGTAGCACTACAAAAATGTATATTTTGTCTCAGATTGATTTTCACGTTCATTACTGACCCCTTCCTGCTTATTAATTTGTTTTAGGCCAGGGCAAATGGCTTGAAATCATGTGTCATAGTCATCAGAGTGCTGAGAGATCTCTGTACCCGTGTTCCTACTTGGGCTCCACTTAGAGGATGGGTAATCTAATAAATTAAATTTCCATTACTGTTTACAAATGTGTAATGATAAAAATGTTCTGTGCATAATGGCAGACCGTTCTAATTTTTTTAAATGACAAAAGAACACCTGTAAAGTTAGGCAATCTTAAAATGTCCCCATTTTTTCAGAGATCTTTAGTGGGACATTGACTGAATGTGGTCTCTGTCAAGAAGTTCTTATGCAGTGCAAAATTCTGTAGATGATGGAAGTTGGGAATGTTTTTCTAGATTTTATCTTCAATGTTCAGAAATACATTGCTTAACTTAACCAGTCTCAAATATTGAACCTGTCCATTAAGGTTCTAGTAAGTGACTGAGTTCTAAACCTGAAGTCCTATTTTTTTAGAAGTGAACAGTCAATAATAAACTATAGTAGAATGTTTTTGATTTCTTAATAAAAGTGTTGAATGTCTGTTATATTACTCTGCTTCTATCTAATGCTGTACATAATGAGGGTGAATGCTGTTAGACATTTTCCCTTTTCCATTTACATACACATTGCTTACCTACAGGCAAGCTGGTCTGTTGCTGCCAAATATATTCACAAATAATAAATCCTAATCTTGTTTGCAACAAAATGAGTTTGATTTGAAGATCATGGGCTCATGGTTCACCACAATGCTGACCGTCAAATTGTTTTTGCTATTTTCTTTAAGTTATAAAGAGATTGAATAAAACGTACATACCCAGATGTGATGGGCAAAGCGGTCCAAATGTTAATAGTAAATTCTGCAACAGTTTGCAGTTCTCAGATTCTACTTGACAAATCTCTCAACTTTTATTCTGGTAACATTTAGGCTTTTATAAAAGTAACTTTGCCATTATGGGAAGACTAAATTATTTTGGATACTTATGAATAGAATTTAAACAATGTTAGATATTGCATTCACACTTTCCTATCTGAATATTATGTCAAAGAACTTATTTGGAAGTAGAAATATTATTGACATACATTTTGCATATCTGACATCTTGTTTCTTTCCTAATCTATAATCAGCAAACATCTTAAGGGTGCTTAAATAGCAATGCTAATTTAAGAGAAGATCCTGATAGAATTATTCTATTTCTATCTGCAATCAGATGTGTTTCTGTACTTCTAAGTATAAAAATAAAAACAAAACATTGCCATAGAAAAGCAGCACCATTTAGCCTCAGCCTCCCAAGCCTTTTGGAAATGTGGGATTATAGGAGGTTTCTCCCTAGCTATTCTTAACTCTTAACTGATGTTTGGATCAGACAGTTCTGTAGGTGTCTGCATGATAAGCCATATTCACATGATAAGCCATATTCACATGACAAGCCAGCACCTTAAATTGCATCTAGAGTCTAATCAGTACAAGTGCAGGGCCTGTAAAATTATGTTAAATGTCCTCTGAGGTGACCACTAGCAAACACATTTTTTAAGTCCCTGCAGTTTTCTTGGAAAGGTTTTTCAGAAGTGGTTTGCCATTGCCTCCTTCCTAGAGTTGAGAAAAAATAACTGGACCAAGGCCAACTTTGTTCCTAAGGTGGGACTAGAAGTCCCCCAGTTTCTACTCTGATGCTTTAACCACCACATTAAACTGGCTCTAGAAAGCACATAGACCACAACATTTTTGAGCTGTTGCTGTTTCCAAGTAGACATTAAGGGCAGCCCTTAAAGAATAATAGTCAAGGCAATGGTGATGATGGCATGAGTTACTATAGCCAAGTCCCCTTGCCAAAGGTACAGCCACAGTTATGTCAGCTGAAGTTAGGCATAGGCCCCTCAGTTTCCATGGATTGATGAAGCAAGAGCTGTCAGTCCAGAAGAACCCCTGAATAACAAATCTTAACTTTCTTCCTTTCTTTTTTATTTTTTTTTAATATACATTTTATTGGTTTTTTTAATTTTAACATCAAAGTGCTCAGGAAAACACCGTGGTGAAAGGGTAATCAATCATAACAAAACAAGTCATATATATATATAACTAAAATTAATACCATAAAAATAAAAATTCCCCCCTCTATTTCCTCACATGATATAACAAATTTAGTTTAATCTATTTCTTCTTAAAATTCAATCAATCCACAGAATCATCCCTACTATTACATCTACATAAATCACTCCTGATTTAAGCTCCACTAATTTCAATTAAAATATTTCAATTAATCTTAAACAAACATTAATAAAATTTTGGGTATCCCTTCTACAACACACATTATATTCCAAGAGTAACATTCTAATATTTTCATATATATTCCATCTCTTAATTTAATACATCATTAATTAATACCTTTTCTTCTCTTGTCATAGATCTCTCTAATTCTTCTGCTATTACAAAATAGTTTTCTATATAAACAGAGTAAAAAACAAAAAAAGAATCATTTCGATCTGTTAAGTAAAATTTAACTCTCAACCAAATTAACTATCGTATCTAAAACAAACATTATTACACCAATTATTATCTTACTGCTTTCATTTACTCACTTAGATTGTCCAATCAGTCCAAATTTCTAAAGCCTTTTTGACCCAATAATTAAAATTTTAAATCACACTTTTAAATCTAACTGGCTTTTTTTCTATACCAAGCTGGTTTTCGTAATGTCGCTTCTATGTCATCAAATCTCAGTATTTGAATACTAATGTTTATCAACAAATTGATCTGATCAAAATTCTCTTCCACTTCTTCCAGTATCGTATACGCAATATAGTCCATTTTATTCCATATTATAATTTCAGCTTGCTTATCCAGGTTGTCATAACTTTCAATTGATTGCGTCTGGCTGTCAATTCCTGTTAATTTTGGCAATGGGAGAACTTCACTTATAGTCATTTTTTGATCTTCAAAGTTCTCCATTTGTACATAGACTTGTGAAATATCCTCCTCTGTAGGTAGTTAGTTGATTTATAGAGTAGTTATTTAAAGTCTCAATTTGGGATTTTGGGTCCAGAATTTTTCTAAAGTTCAATTGATCAGTGAGTTCTACCATCTCAAATTGTGTACACTGTTGCATATAAGCTTCTTCTTGGCCTATAGATTGATCTTTTAAAATTTGAGGCTCAGCTTGTGGCCCTGCAAAACAACCTTTAGTCTCTCTCCATAACTTCATCTCCTCTGTCATTTCCAATACCTTTTCCAATATCAGCCCATAGTCAAGCTGTGGGCAAAGGTCCTCCATTTCCACAGCAAAAAAGTCTTTTAAAGTTTTTGTGGAAACTATATTTATTAAGAGTCCATATACATCTGCCTCCACAATTTTCAAATCACAAACACAACCCACAGCTGTTTCCAAGCCTTTATCTTTTCTTCTTATTAATTCCTGAAGTAGTGTTCTCCAAGCACTATTTTCGCCACAAGATGTCCTCAGTAAGCTATAGAAAGCTTTTTCTTTGCAGTTAAAAGCCTTTATCTATTAAGAATGACAACGAGAGAAACAGAAAAGAGCAACTTTGTTCAGTATAGTGAGTAAAATAATGCTCTAAATTAGGAATCTTTCCATGGATGCCCAATATCCAAAAGGTTCAAAATAAGTGCTATTCAATTTTGTTTAAAGTATTATTATTATTATTATTATTATTATTATTATTATTATTATTATTATTATTATTATTATTTTCCCCCAAACAGACAGAAGCTGCTTTCTTAAAACAGGGAAGTCATCCAAAAAGCAAGCTCTTTGCAGGAAAAATAGTTCAAAATGGAGAGAGGGAGGAAAGGTCTCACCCAGATTCACCACGGTGGTTCTTTATGCTTAGATGATTTTCTGACTTCAGCTAGCACAGCGAAGTGATCAGCCATTTTACTGACCGATCTTCTCCATCGGCCCTACGGAATTAGCTCGGACTGTAGGGGGAGCCGCCGCTCCACCGCAGCCAAGCAAAAGCCTCCTAGACAGGGCGATTTAAGACCCGCATAAGAGTCTACAGGTAGAGAGAAAGCAGCCAACAAAGAGCGACGAGCTCTTTGTATGGCTGAAAGTGCCGTGATCCGGAAGCGGAAGTCAACTTCCTTTCTAATCCTTTCTAATTTAAGCCTGATTGTGGAAAATCTGAAACTTTTTTGACTTAATGTGAAATAAAAAATGAATATATTAATTCAATATAATTTTTTTGTTCTAAATGGCACTTGTTCTTATCCCAGACTTTCAAAATTAGCAGAGAAGAAAATAGCATTTAGTACTGACAACTTGGTCATTATGTAGAATAATTGCTAAATAATATCGCACTTGTGCTTATAAACTTAAGCTTTCCTTTGCTTTACAGACCTTAATATGAAATAAATAAATAAATGCAAGGACAGATTGCAAAGTTTTTCATAACTGTTGTAATTTCAAACCATAGCTAAACAAGACAACTGCTGAATGAGGACTGCCTGTATATTTTGTAACTGCCTATCATGGATAACAGAAAGCTATGGTCAGAAAGATCTGTATTTGTATTATAGATTTTGACAATTGTTCTATTTTCATTGTTTTGGAAATTTCTTTTCAGCCTCTAGAGCTGCTTTGTGAGAAATCAATTGGAACAGCCAATCGGCCCATGGGAGCTGGTGAGGCACTGAGAAGAGTTCTTGAATGCCTTGCATCTGGAATAGTTATGCCAGGTTAGATGGTCCTTGGCTGTTGAGAATTTCAATGGATATTTGTTCTCTTAACTAGTACAAGTTAGATTTCATCTATTTCATTTAAGAGTCTATATTTAGGATATAATGATATATTGAGTAGATGTTCTTTGGACCCATTATTCCGATTCCATTTTGGAGCATTTTTATACTTTAGCAAGTTTGCCACATTATTGGGATTAATGGTCTGCAATTTAGAGTAGATCAGATTATCATCCATTGACTCAACTTCAGTTGGGCTACTTATATTATTGAGTGTTAGGTGATATTAAGGGAATATTCAAGTTTACATAGAGATCCTAGGATAATTCTCTGCATATCTTCCTTGTTTCCTGCCTTCAGATGGTTCTGGTATTTATGATCCTTGTGAAAAAGAAGCCACTGATGCTATTGGGCATCTAGACAGACAACAAAGGGAAGATATCACACAGAGTGCTCAGGTATAGTTTTGATTACAGATGTTACAAAACCGCAATGAGTTCTTAATGGTAGCTAGTAACCTCCATGAGGCTGTCTTTTATTAGAAAAGGGTCCCATTTCACTAATATAGGAGGCTTTTATTGATTGCCAGAAATAAGGTATCAGGTTTTTAACACTTTTCTAGAGTACTTAACTATGATTTTTTTAGAAGATGTTTATGTGAAATACTGGGACTGGGTGTTGTTTTAATAGATGTTGGGAGCAGAGTGACTTTTCAATAACATCCATTATATCTTTCTAGCATGCTCTAAGGCTTGCTGCTTTTGGACAGCTTCACAAAGTCTTGGGAATGGATCCACTGCCATCAAAGATGCCCAAGAAACCAAAAAATGAAAATCCAGTTGACTATACTGGTAAGTTTTGAAACTTGTGAACTTTATTTCTCAGATTTATTGGCCAGTGTATTGAAATTTTGAATTCTTTATCTTACCAGTCCAGATCCCGCCTAGCACAACATATGCCATCACTCCTTTAAAACGTCCCATGGAAGAAGATGGAGAAGAGAAATCTCCAAGCAAAAAGAAAAAGAAGATTCAGAAAAAAGGTATTGAGTTGACAAGAGGTAGGTTTGCTTAGTTTTTAGGTGTTCACTAAGATAGTTATTTTGGTTACAGTGTTATATGTAACTAGATGAATAGGAGAAATGACGGGCGTTATGCTTTTGCTTGCTAACAATAAAGACTGCATTTAGCAGTTGGCAGTATTAATGCATAGGCTCTCATATGAAGATGTTGTTATCTAAAAATAATTTCTTTTCTTCAGAGGAAAAGTCAGATCCTCCACAAGCTATGAATGCTCTTATGAAGCTGAATCAGCTAAAACCTGGACTTCAATATAAGCTAGTATCTCAGACAGGTCCAGTTCATGCTCCTATATTTACTATGTCTGTGGAAGTTGATGGCATCACTTATGAAGCTTCAGGACCTTCCAAAAAAACAGCCAAGTTGCATGTAGCAGTAAAGGTAAAGAGTAATTGTAATAAGTGCCTTTGCTTTTAAAGATAGCTTAATTTATTCTCAGAAAATGAATTGGTGTCTACTTACTTATTTGATTCTTAGCCAGCTTTATTTTTGGCAATTCAAGGATGCACACATACTTTATATTTCTCATGTTCCCCTGTTTTTTTTGGATTGGTCTATATCACCCAGCCAACTTTTATATCTAAGGGAGGACTAGTAGTCTCCTAGTTGTAGCCCAGCACCTTAGCCACTAGACCATCCTGGCTCTCGAGTTTCATAAATTAAAAATGTGTTTTGTATGTGTCTCTGTGTAGCCAGTATATGTTTGTGTTTATTATGATTTGGCATTAGCTGAATTAACAAACTGTGTTTCCAGCTTGGGTCTTGCCTATTGGTGGGGGGCAGTTTTGTAAAAGGAGCCTATTTAGAATCCCTATAACATTTGCTATTAAATTGAATTAATTTTATTGGAAGTGATTATAGGTAGTACTCAACTTACAACAGTTCATTTAGTGACTGTTTGAAGGTACAATGTCACTGAAAACAGTGGTTTATGACTATTTTTCACAGTACCATTGCAACATCCCCTAGGTCACGTGATCCAAATTCAGATGCTTGGCAATTGACTCATATTTATGATGGTTGCAGTGTCAGGGGTCATGTAATCACCTTTTGCGACCTGACAAGCAAGGTCAATGAGGAAGCCAGATTCACTTAACAACTGTGACAATAAAAGTTGTAAAATGGGGTAAAATTCACTTAACAACTGTCTCAGCAACAGAACTTTTGGGCTCAATTGTTGTAAGTCAAGGACCATAAATGATTTAATTCAGTGGTCGCCAACCTTTCTGGCTCTGTGGATCAGCAGTGGGGGGAAAGGGTCTGCTCCTCACACAAATGGAACTTTCACAAGCATGCACTTATTCTCATGCAAGTGGAACTGCACATGTGCGCTCGCCAGTCATTTCCGCAACCTAGTTCCGAATGGGCTCCTGTCCTGTACTGGGGTTGAGGACCCCTGATTTAATTTACTTTCAGTAAAATTTAAATGTAAATTAAATCAGACTTTTTTATTTGCTCCCTTCAACATCTGGATTTGCCTCTTAAAGTCAAATGCTGAACAGCCAACAGATGAAAAATGGATTATTTCTATTTGAGTGTGGGCTGTTCCTTTCAAGATAGGTAATAGGATTGTTTAAAGTTGATAAGCAATACAATAAGTATTAGAACAATTATAGCTAATTTCTTGTTTTTAGGTTCTGCAAGACATGGGATTGCCTACAGGTGTGGAAGGTAGAGAGAGAGGTGATGAATCAGCAGAGGAAACTGATCAGAAACCAGTTGCAGTTGCTGTTCCTCCTGTAGTAGAAATTATTTGTACTCCTAGTGCTGCTTCTCCTTCAGAGCAAACAGAGGTGAACATGGCTTACCATGCTCTTAGGTGCTTCATGTCTAAGTGTTATGTTTCTACTTCATTTTAGAAACTTTAACATTATTATCTTTTTCTGTGCTTTGCTTCACTCCACTTAGCTCTCCTATCACTAACATTTCTGAGGGTGTTCCCCATTGAATCATATTTTCTAGAAAACACCTTTGTATGTAGTGTTCTATGGTCTGTTTAAGGAAATAATTCCTAAACTATATGTTATTACTGTCTCTCTTATGATATTCTCCAACTACATGCAAATCTTAGGGACCTGTGCCTATATTAGCTTCTGTCCAGAGAATGTTGCCATGCATTGAGGATGTTTCTAACAAACTGGCTAAATAATAGGCCTGTGCTGGCTTATTTAGATATTTTATTAATTTAGAACCAGAATAATATAAGTATTTGGCTTAGTGTGCATTTACCTTTCTTTAATGTGTAAGTTATAATTTTGAAATATTAGAGGAAATACTAGTGCTTTTTAACATTTAATCAGACATATTTTCATTGTGATTTTTTTACTTAGAATGTGAAACAGCAGGGACCAATATTGACCAAGCATGGAAAAAATCCAGTTATGGAACTCAATGAGAAACGACGTGGCTTAAAATATGAGCTGATTTCAGAAACTGGTGGCAGTCATGACAAACGGTTTGTGATGGAGGTGAGATGACTTGGTCCACAAAACTGTGTTCATGATTGCTGTTATAGTTAGTTAAAGTTGCAGCTCTGTTCCTGAAATCATTTCTCATTTCGAAGGTTGAGGTTGATGGCCAGAAGTTCCAAGGAGCTGGTTCAAATAAAAAGGTGGCAAAAGCTTATGCTGCACTGGCTGCATTAGAAAAGCTTTTTCCAGATGCTCCCCTTCCAATGGAGCAGAAGAAAAAAAGAGCCCCTATGCCAGCACGAGGTGGACCCAAATTTCCTGTAAAGGTAGGCATATATGCACTACAGCTTATGATTATATCAGAAATAACCCATGCATTTCTTTAAAAACTGAGCCTTAAAGTTTGATAGATATTTTAAAGCCCGTTTGAATATGCAGTTTTCACATGCTGTAAGTGGCCAGAGCCAGGAATTAACACTTCTTATATTTTTCTAATTTCAACAGCATAATCCAGGCTATGGTATGGGAGGTCCTATGCATGCTGAAGTACCTCCTCCTCCAAGCATGCGGGGCCGTGGCAGAGGAGGAAATATCCGGGGCCGGGGCCGGGGCAGAGGTGGATTTGGTGGTGCCAGTCACGGAGGTTATATGAATGCTGGTGAGTTGCATTACTTTTATTTACCACTATGACATTTAGAAACAATATGTTGCCTTATGTAACTTAATTAACCTTTGAAATGTTATATCTTATGTTTGAGCTTATTCTAGTCATAAAATTTGGAATTTGGCTAGTCTATTTGGGGTGGGTGAAATGTTGCTGGGTTTGGAAATACTGGCTATACTGGGTTCTCTAGAATCCACTTTGTGTGTGTCAAAATACTTAGATATTGTGCAAGCATAAAAACTCAATTCTATATCATTCATTTCACATACTTCTAATTGTATAATGTTTTTGGAATTTCTCTTAGGGGCTGGATATGGAAGTTATGGCTATGGTGGCAACTCTGCAACAGCAGGCTATAGTAAGTGTTTAATGGGGAAAAGTAGACAACACTCTGGGATAACAAACTCAGTACTATTTTGCATAATGAAATGAGCAAATATTTTTTAAACTTGATTTTAAATTTCTCTGCTTTAAGCCAAGTGAAGCAATACACCATTCTTGTAAAACAGTTCTCCCTAAAATACACAATTTTGTTTTGAAAGGCCTTTGATGGGGAGGGGGGATGACGGGAGCAGAGAAATAAAAAATAATTTTTAAAAATGTGGCACATTTTGCCATCTTCAAAAATTCTAATTTTTTTTCCTCTGCTCTGTCTCCCCCTTTTGTAGGTGACTTTTTCACAGACTGCTACGGCTATCATGATTTTGGGTCTTCCTAGATCATCTAAAAGTATTGCACATAAAACAACTTTTTACTCCAATTTTCTCGAACTCCAAAACCAATGTGTTCGTGCTGTGTCCCTGTGCTTCACTGGGTTTCTCAACAGTGGCTTTTCACCGCAGCTTTCTGAAACTTAGCCTACAAACAGTGGCAGTTTTAATTGTGACTTGCCTTTGATCATATGGATGTACACTATTGGGGAGCAAAGGTTCAAGGAATGTCTTTGTGCATTATGCACAATAAGAGCCAACTCTGTTCTGCTTACAAGCAAAAGGCCTTTGTTTGCTTTTTATGGAAAGCATTTTATTTTTACAGAACTTGCAAAAATATGCTACCATTTTGTCTTAAATTTTCAAGAGATTTTGTACAAATTTTAGTCCCAAAAAGTGGGTAAATGCTTGTAATAAGGCGAAATTCCTTTTAATTATTCTGAAACTAACAACCTAAATTTTGAGCATGCATATTCTTAATGTGAAAATAATATGTGCTGATTTTAATCTCTACGTCCATTGGTTTCTTGTATTAATATAAAATGCAGGACCTATAGTCTGAGTTACACTTGTTGGGTTGTATTATCTTTAACATTTCAATGGTTTGGTTAACTGCAGTGGGCTTGTTGCAGTTCTTACAGGATGTGGCTCTTTTTTCTTGTTCTCCAGTACATGTTCCCAGAAGATGAATGTAGTATCACAAGACATGAAAACTACTGAACATTGAAAGGCACAGGGAATAAACTAGTTATTAAGATTTTTAATAAATGGATTGTTTAGTTCTCTTTGCTTTAGTAGCCATATTAAATGTGATTAGTCTGATTGCTGCCTTAGGAACAATGTTAAACCTACTAATTTAGTAATTAATGAAATAAGTGCAAGTACAGTGGAGATATGAATTTGGATAAAGGCTCTAAATATAAAAATGACATTTGATATCAATTTAAAAGAAAAACTAAGTAAAATTCATTATTAAATACTGTTGTTCTGGAAGAAACAGTTCTGAATGTGTTTTAGGAATAATTTGGATTAAGAAGTAAAATTACTCCAAGTAACAGGTTTACGTTTCTTTGTACATGACCTCTTACTGAACCACAGCTGTGAGTTCATTTATAACTTTACACTTTTTAAGCACGTAGCTTTATGTTTTATAAAACATAACTGGTAACTTGTATGCTAATTATGTGTCAGAGCTGATGTAGTGTCTTGTGTTCCTTTAAGAAAAAAAATCTCTGGTTGTACATGACTTGAGACATAAATTTCAATTTGAATTCAAAGTGGAGAGCCAAACACTTTAAAGTGAATAGCAATATGCATTAAATGATTTTGTCCCCATGGACAAAATGAGCATGTAGTGCTCAGAAGTGCATATTTTTATTTTTTCGGGTTTTGACCAGAGCAAAATTGAGAGGGATCTTATGGGAAAGGCTGGAACATTCAGTCCTTGTGTTCTAAGCCCACTTGCCAATCTTTCTGTTCATTCCTTCCCATCATTTCTCCTTGTGTATTACTTCCCATTAGTGGCTTTGCCTTTACTCTGCTCTCTTCCCACACCAAGAATGCATATGTTTCTGCCTGTGCTATGCAGGGAACATTTTGTGCAGAGTATATGCTGTGCACATTGTTGTAAGTACTCTGATTTTGTTTGAGCTGTTACCATCTCTATTTTACATTCTGTCACCAACTGAAATATACAACTATTTAATATAACTTCGGAATAATTTTTAATTCTAATTTGGGAAATTGCTATTTACAAGGGACTCCACATTTGTGCAAAACACTATATTAGATTATTTTGAATGACACGCAGCTCAACATGGTGGGATTAATTAATATAAAGTATAATGATAAACTTCATGCCAGAACTATATACTATATTCAGTCTTTACAATTGTTAACAAGAATTAGAAATTTTAATTTGGCAGGTAGGTATTTTTGTTTTTTATTCTGCAGACAGCCTACTTAATGTTAATTAATTGAGAAGGGATCACTTCAGAACAATTTCACTCACACTATCTTCATGAATATGATATATTGAACATGAGTATTGCCTTTATAGTGGTTGACCCTGCTTTCTTGTCTTTAGGCCAGTTTTACAGTAATGGTGGCCATTCGGGCAATACAGGCGGAGGAGGTAGTTCCTCTGGCTATGGTTCCTATTATCAAGGTGGTGACTACAGTTCTCCTGCTCCTCCTAAGCATGCTGGGAAAAAACAACCACATGGTGGACAGCAGAAGCCTTCTTATGGCTCAGGGTATCAGTCCCATCAAGGCCAACAGCAACAATCATATAACCAAAACCAGTATGGCAATTATGGTCCTCCACAAGGCAAGCAGAAGGGCTATAACCAAGGCAACTATGCTTCTTACTCAAATTCCTATAACTCTCCTGGTGGCAGTGCCGGAGGATCAGAGTACAACTATGAAAGTAAATTCAGTGAGTTTCTTGTGGATGGTGGGGTGGAAGTTGAGAAAGATTCAAATAGATGTCGCATAAGCTTACTTCTGATTTATGCCAAATAAATATGCTTAAAGCCATAATGTAAAGACAGAGAAAAGATGGGAATAGTTCAAAAAGTAATTAGTGGCTTAAGCACTGCTATTTATGAGTGATACTTAAAATATGAGCTGATTTCACTTAACATGGTTAAGTAAATCTGGCTTCCCCATTGACTTTGCTTGGCAGAAGGTTGCAAAAGGTGATCATATGACCCGGGGAACTTACTGTCATAAATATGAGCCAGTTGTCAATGTTTGAATTTTGATCACATGACCATGCGGTTGCTGCAACAGCTATAAATGAAAAATGGTCATAAGTCACTTTGAAATGCTGTTGTAACTTTGATCGGTCACTAAACAAACTTGTAAGTCGAGGACTACCCGTAATTGTTGGAAGTTGTCTACTATTGCAATGATCAGATAAAGAGCAGTTTAAACTTGTGAAATAGCAGATACTAAGCTGAAAACTAGATGATTTAGAATAATATTTTGAAAGTTTAGTTTAATCAACTTGACAAACTGAAATGTGGCAATGTGGTAACCTTCCTCAGCCTGGTTCACCCTTGAATCACAAAATTGTTGGAATAAACATCAACAAAATCTAGATAAGCACCATTTGGAGAAAGGGAAAAGATGGCCATTGTCAAACTTGAACAAAATGGAGGTAGTTCTTGAGTTATGACAGACACCCCCCCCCCAAGGTACTTATGACCCAGATTTGAAGTTCCAATGAAGATCCTCCCATGCAGTCACATGGTCATGTTTTATGGCTGTTATTTATGTTTGTTTTTTTGCTGGAAACCAGTGTTCACTTCCAGTTTCCGCAAAAAAACCTTGCCCACTGAAGACAATAGGTTCATTTAATGCCTGCCATGTTTGTTTTATGACTACTGCATTTGCTTAACAACCACTACAAAAATGTGAAATTAGTCAATCAGTTTGGTGCCTCAACATACAACCATCATGACATGACGGAAATTCTGGGCCCCATGTTAGCCATACATCGAGATATACCTGTAAGAAAAGTATTCATGCATTGCAGTTTCTGGCAGAGTAGTTTCTTTGCTGCAGCTACTATGTTTTAGGACTGCGTAGAGAGAAGTGAGCATTTTATATATAGAAAGTAGAGACAGCCAATAATTAATCCTGGATATGTTCAAAGTAATTTGTATAGGTGACTTAATATGCATTCTTTGATTGTAGATTATGGTGGTGGACGTGGAGGTGGTGGTACAAACAGCTATGGTTCAGGAGGTGCCTCCTACAATACCAGTGGCTATGGAGGAGGAGCTGGGGCAGGAGGGTCATCTTACCAAGGTAAGCAAGGTCAGTATAGAGTTAGACATGCAAACTTAAAACACTTGTGTGTTAATGAGACAAAATTTTCCCACAGATGTTGCATTGGCTGAATGGCCAACTGTTATCTGTGGATAGTATCAATACTCTTTGCATCCCTAACTCTAAGATGAATGTAGTAAACTAAAGGGAAAGTTGTTTTTTTTTAGCTCTAGGCATTAGAAAAGAAGGAGCACTTAGTCAAGGAGCAATATTAGTTATTGAACTGACAAAGTAAAATATTCTTAAGTGGTCTGAAGTACAGCTTACATGTTGTAATGTATATGCCTGTTATGTTTAGTTTGGTGTTCTAAATATTTTTATGCATAATAATTGAAAATGTATAACCAAAGTAGCAATTACAGTGGTATATTAAAGCAACTTCTAATTTTCCTAGGTGGATATTCTCAGTCAAATTACAATTCTCCAGCTTCAAATCAGAACTACAGTGGACCTCCCAATTCCTACCAACCTCCGCAAGCTGGATATGGTAGAAATGACCACAGCATGAACTATCAGTATAGATAAACGAGTTTGTTCTTGATGGGTCTGTATCTTTGTTATCTCTTAAATTTGCATAACCTTTGAAAATTAAGTTTTATTGCATCACAGTAAACATGTAAACCCTGTTTTCCATGTTGCAGTGCTCTTTGTGATATCAGTCACTAATGGTTGAGTACATTGTGATTCCATAATTAGCTGTATTTTGGACATTTAATGCTGTATTTAATGGTTTGTTAGTTTGCCATTTCAGTTTTTTTGTCTAAATAGAATTTGAGTTCAACATCCCTCTTTTGTTTAAATTAAATTCAGGTATTAACACACAGGATTGCTTTAAATAGATAAGGGATGTCTTCTGCTTTTGTGAAGTGAGTTTAAACAAGCTTTCTGTATTTTAATGCTTTAGTGTTTTTCAGTTTTATAAGTGATTTATTTTTAAATTTGTGGGAAAGAGTGGGTTTGTATGTCTGGGTTTTTCAGACAGCTCCTGGATTATGCTGAATGTAGACAAATAAACATAAAATCTTCATGTGTGTGTCTAGAATGTTATTCCGCCCCCAAACTATTTTTAAACAGTAAAAGAATAATACCAATAATATTTTTTAATTTTAAAGAAATGTTAGCCTGATATATTTTATTATTTTTATTTATTTTATTAAAATACTCTTCACTTGCCCTAACTATTATGCCAATAATACTCATGTGCATTTGATTTTTTTTCTTTTTGGCCTGTTGTGGAGTTTAAAGTTTTTATTAACTTTTGACATCATCTTAAATCTAATTTCTTTAAAAGATTAGTAATAAATGAGGCAATGTGTGATTAAGGGATTCCTTGATTGTGCATGTTGTGTTTCTGCTGTGGTGGCTTCCTGGATTCTGTATTATGTGCAATATATATTGTGGCTTAAAAGGATACCAACAAGGGCAATTATATTAAGTTGTGTACCCCCAAATTTAGCATGTAAACCTGTTGGTATTACTGCTTAGAAATTTGAAAGCAAGCATCTTTAAAGTTTGTGACATTTCTCATAAAACTATAGAAATGGTGAGTATATCAAACTGACAAAATACCGTGTTTTCCCAAAAATAAGACCTATCCCGAAAATAATCCCTAGCTTGATTTTTATGTTTGTGCCTAATATAAACCCTACCCCCCCCCCCCCAAAAAAAATAAACCCTAGTTAAGGTCCCGTCCCACTATCTGGTTGCATGAAATGTGGCGTTCTATGAGAAAAAAAGCCCTGGATAAGCCTGTTGATAAATGCATCATCAGAAAATTTAAAGCAATTATTTTGAAAAATTTGAAGGAAAATACATTTTTTTGAAAAGATCAGTGATTTAAATCTTTGTTATCAGGTAAAAAATGGTTCTGAAGTATAAAGAAACTACAATTCAAAAGTGCTTAAGTAGTACTTTTAAAAGTTATTTAGATCCCTAAAAGTTACATTTTTAAAAAAATTTAAAAAGTGAGTATGAATGATTAGTTTTAAGATATAAGTATTGTAGCTCTTGAATTCTGGATTTAAATTTTACTGATCCATAGTCAAACCACTAGACAAAACATCTATATTGGTTAAGATACATAAAATGCACAAAGCTGTAAACTGGAGAAAACTTAATCATTGTATTTTACAACTTGGAAAAAATTGGATACTTAGAATTGGAGGCTATAAAACAAAAACTCAACCTGACTCTTTCCATTATCTCCTTTCCCCACTCCCCAGTTCCTCAGCCTATCCTATGGATATTTCTGCTTTCAGCACTACTTTGGTGGTTCTCTGGTATTCTATACTCTGAGCTACTAGGTCAGTGTCTTCCTTGCTTCCATAAAAAGTTTGGATTGTTAATTTATTGTAACAAAACCCATTGTGTGTGTTTCTTATGAATTAATTGCATTCTTCCAGTGTTGTGTATCAATTATGAATGTCATTCCAACAAGTTCCAGTGATCCATATGTAGCGCCACCCCCGTAGGGACCGCTTAAGTCCGTGCCTTCCCGACCTCCCCTCCAAGTGGCCACCAGCCCAAGGAGGTCTCTCACATTGGTGCCTCTACCATTTGTACTGACACCATTGGGGAGGGCCCAGCTGCTGTTTAGGAATTTTGGCAGTGAGAGGCACAGCATCTGGTTCAATAGTCTGTACTTGAGTCCCCAAAGACTGTTGCTGGAGCCCTGTCGCTCTGACTTCAGAGGGTTCTATGATATGGGGGTCCCTTGCTAAGGACGATGCTCCCATTACCCCTATCACCGATGGGGACTTTACAGAAGCCTACTCCCAAGAGTTGGCACCCGAACCTGTCCTCGGTCACCCCTTTGATTGGAGCTAGCTGATATTACCAGGCACCCAGTTGGCTCCCTCACTGGGGCCCTCGATGGTTTCCCGACTGAACTGAATTCCCTGATCTTCTATACAGTTTTGTACAAGGATGCCTATAATGTCCTACACTCTCACAGTTGTAACAAATCACCGACCTTGCTGAATTGTCGGCCGAGGTAGAAAGGCCCATCCCCCCACTGGCTATCCCAGCCTGACCTCCATTCGGAGGCAGACAACCCATTGCCATCCACGAGATCATCATCCTCTCCACCCTTCCTCACTCGTGCCTGGGGGCCATCCCGATGATAAATCAGCTGTGACCTCTTTGGCCTCCTCTACCACCTCCGTCGCCCTAACTCTCCTTATGAGCTCATGATACCCGCAGATGCTCAATTCCAGACTGGATCCGGAGCTAAAGCACCCCAGGCTTGCTCCATTTCAGTTGGATCCAGCTCCCCCCCCCTTTCCACAACCTGATATAATAATTTGTTCAATCATCTTATATACTCAGACAGCCTTTCACCTCTTGATACATATGCTCAAAGCAAAACAATAAGCCGGAAACTTTCGGCAGACCCAAATTCGTCACACAATAGGGAGAGGTAGTTGCGCACAGAAAAATGCCCTTGGCTCAACGTTAAACTTCTGATAGCTTCTGCAGCAGGGCCCTTTAAGCTTTCTCTGACTCTCTGCTTTATTGCGCATCTGGTATATCCCACTCTTCGACTGCTTGTACTGCCTGCTCCATCCAGGTTTCATATCCCCCCCCCCCCGTATTGGTTGCATCCCTGAGAAAATACGTAGTTTCTTATAC